GATATGGGATTCAAACCTAGTTCTTTTATTTTTTCTTTTCTTTAATTTTAAAACTTAAAATGCATTAATTCATACTGAAATTCTTGAGTTAACCAGAATTTCTACTTCACCCCATTTTCCCACTTGCATTGCCTGTGTGAGCATGCTGGCTAACGTCAACTTCCCGCCTGGAGGGGAGCACATGGTTACCACAGGACCTTTTTTCCTCTTCGAAAACATAGCCACAATTCTGATTTCTCCTTATTCTAATATTTCTTGAAACTGAATTCTTCACTAGAAAAACACTATGTATTTGAATACATTTAGAATATACATATGGTGCAATTTTGAGAAGGAAAAAATACGAAATATAGGATTTGTTTTTGTTTTTCTATTTTGCAAGTTTCTATATATCAATACAGGCTATGTCCCTTTTCTGTTGAAAATGCTGCCAGTTAACTCACACCATCAAATTAATTTACTGCCTTCATTTCTTGCACATAATATGGGAGTCACGAGTGGTGCATACTGCTTTCCTGCACCCTCAGCTGTGTGAAAGAGCTCTCTGTGCTGGATCTCCTTCTGTTGGTAGCCTACAAATGAAATATACATATATTTTCTTTTGAAAAGGTTATCTAGTTTGTATTTTCTACCACATGCTTTAGAATTATCCCTTAATGATTAAACTAAATGTGTCTACCTTTCGTTATTTTATCTGACACACTGTTTCTATTCCATGCCACAATATATTTCAAGCAGTCCATGTGACAAATAAAATGAGTATAGAAAGAAGGGACTTGGTTTATTCAGTTTCCTGCAACTCTTCAGTTTGTTGATATGTGACACTACAAACAGGTTTTTTTGAGTTCAGTAAAACAAACCACATAACAATTTGTTTCTTGATGTGGCTCAATTGCATATTGATTGGGTTATGGCTTTCATTGATGGTGTGTCGGGAGTGGACTAGAAATTTATTAAACTCTTGGGTGCCGTATTACCACTATTTTATCAGAGACCATCAATGATTTCTTACAACAAATATTTGAATATGACAGATAATAATAACTTTTTATGTACTTTAAAAAAACAATAATATAAAAAGAAGTTTGCAAGAAATATGACAAATGCCCACAATAAAAATCGAAGATCATAAACAACAATATTATTGTGGAGAATAGACAGCTGAGAGGAATAAAATGGCATGAAGTGGAAGTTGGTAAAGCTAAAGTGAGAATGTAAATACAAATAAACTATGCTCAAATGCAAAGAAAACATATCATTTTTCAATGTCAAGAGTAGACCCCTAAACAGATGTGTAACTAGCAATTTTATGCCGAGGGCAAGCACTAAACACTCTATTTTATCCATCCCCTTCTGGTACCCTCCTGCCTTCAGGACCCCCTTCCTGCTCTGTTCATGTTTTTGCTCTATTTATAATCCGTGGGCTTCCTGTGTCAGGTTACCTGGCCTTTGGAGTCAGCAGAGGATCGTAATTACAGCAAAAACGCTAAGAAGTCATTCTGGGTTAGAAGATGTTCTCAGGATTTCCCTCACAGCAGGGTCTTTTACCACTGAGTTACTTCTAAGGGATCTCATCATGTCAAAGGATCAAAATCAAAATTATTTTACATCTCACAAAGTGGCAAGTAGATAAATGGCATATTATTTTTATAAATGCTGTCTAATTCCAAAACCAATCTGACATGACTTCTTTAATCTAAGAAATTCCAGATTTGAGATCTGGGAAGTGTCACAAAGCCCCCCTCCAGGGCCAGTGTGTGGAATTCCATGATGTCACACACTCACTGCTGGTTTTATTCATGCCTGAGGGCTGCAGAAGGTCATGAATATTTGATCTTGGTTCACACCATGGACCTACCGGAGCCTTTTATCTAAGGAGCATAAATGAACACAGCCACATATGCGATATGGCTAGAGTCTCAGCTGTCACTATTTTCAAATATTTTAAGTGACATTAATTTTTACTACTTTTATGCAAAGTCATTATATTTTGAAAATTAAAAAACTATGATGGAATGGAACATAAACCACATTTTCTATATTCTGTACTTTGAGGAAAGAAACAACCACTATTTATTGAAGCGCTACCCCTATTAGAAAATGCTTTACTTCTATATTAAGAATAGTTTGTGCACTTTATATAAAAAGCACTTGTTTGGATATAAAGTGAATTTTATGGATGATAGCAGTAAAATCAGATTAGTGTGTCAGTCAAAATTCATATTTGCAAGTAACGGAAACTTACTCTGAACATCTGAACAGGTAGAAACTTTGTTAGAAGGCAAAAGAAAGACAGGAAGTTAGAAGGAAAGATTTGACAGGGGAAGGGGCCTGGCTCTGTGGCTGAGTGGTTAAGTTCACGTGCTCCGCTGCAGGCGGCCCAGTGTTTTGTTGGTTCGAATCCTGGGCACGGACATGGCACTGCTCATCAAACCACGCTGAGGCAGCGTCCCACATGCCACAACTAGAAGGACCCACAGCGAAGAATATACAACTATGTACTGGGGGGCTTTGGGGAGAAAAAGGAAAAAATAAAATCTTTAAAAAAAAAAAAAAAAAGATTTGGCAGGGGAGGAACCAAAGAGGATGCAGTGGCTGGCAGTAGACATTTGCTGGCTAACATCTACTGCAGCTGGAGGAGCCACCACTGCCAGATGTCATCCCTATGGTGACATCTATTCTTCTCGTACCTTCCATTACATGTCTCTCACTCCATCATCCCTGGTTGATAGATTGAGCCCACCTCACAAACATCTGTCTACCTCTCAAAGGAGAGGGGGGAAGGGGAAGTCTCTCCTGTCTTATTTTCATTGTGGTAGGTGAGAAACTTAAAACTGTGGCTGGCAGCTAAAAATCCAAATCATAAACGTTCACCCACGGCTACTTAGATTTTTGTCTTGGCCAAAAATTCTTCACATTTTATGAAAAAGTTGGATGACTCCTGCATTCCTTTTAATGAGTTCTGGTAAGTTCATTTTCAGAAACAGGACATATGATCTTGACATCCCTTCAAACAGTGGACTCTGAATTTTCCCTATGATCCTCAGCAAATTACTAAATCTATTTCCTGTTTTCTCTATCTACAATAATGCCCATTCATCTTATCTTCCTTAAAGGGATTTCATTAAAATCACTGATGATACTAGTTAAAATATAGACATCTTCAGAGAGGGACTCAATTTTTAGTTAACATTTAGTTTTACTGCTACATGCCCAATCAGTCCAGGAGTGACTTTAGAGATTCTCTATTTAATTGCATTAGTAGAAAATCTAAAATGCAACATGCCTGTATGTGTGCATATTTTCTCTATAAATGTCATACAAGAAGCATTTATGCTGAAAGACATGTGGACATCAAATGAAGAGTTTCACAAACTCTCTTATAGTGTCTCAACAGCAAGGAATGTGTCGTACTATGAGAATGCCCACACTTCTTCATGGAAGAAAATGAGTCTGGACTTCCATTTCCTTGAAAAACTGCACTGTGAGACAATAGGAGGCAGAGATGGTTTGCACTTGAAAACAGCCCCCATTGAAAATGGGGAATGGAAAATTATTCCTGATGACCTTTCCCATCCCTCTTTGCTTCTTAGCCAAATCTATGAAAGATTAGAGGACAAGTTACAGAGATCCCTATTTTATGCATCTTCTTTCAAAATTAACCCTCTTCTCTATGAACCACATTGTAGTGGAAGCTCTGGAAAGGATGTCAGATGGCCTATCACCGTGCTATCGTTAGAAGGTACAGGAGTCAACCCGATAATAAAAATCAAACCAGTGTTCATTACAAGTAGGTTCCCCTGTGAATTATCTTAGATAAAGCGTCTGTAATGCTTACAAGGTAAGGTAAATGCATCTCTAAGGAACAGAGGGGAGATGAGGACAATCTATTATTGCAACCAATCAGCATTTTCTTTCTATTTCAGGGCCTATATATCAGTGTAAGTGATTTCAGCAGATTGCCTCCCATAAAATTTAGTTTTAAGATTAAAATTATTGATTTTTCTCACTACTTCATCAGTGTTATTTAGAAAAATCTCAGCTGATAATGTGGCTGAGCCTACATAGTGCCAAATATTCAGATGAAAGCTGGTCATCAGCTGGATAGTTGATTTCATGGAAACATCTGGACACTTGACATAATGAAAGTTGTACCATGACTTCATACAACATAAGAATCCCATTGGTATACTTTGAATATATTGATAATAAAGTCTTTGATGTATTGCTGTTGTGCCCCATCTTGAATGCAAATTCAAATCTTTTTGAAGACAATTATTGAAAATAGTATTTTAAAATTCAACACAAAATGAACACTAAATTATATAATATAAATCTTTTTTCTTTCTAAAAACACTACTGTTTATTTTTTTCTTGAAGTGATAATCTTCTTTATTTTGGCGAACTTTTTAAGGCCAAACACAGTAAGCATATACTCGAACTCACTGAAACACATGGAAACAGTTTTGTGAAGTCATCTCCTTTTGATTTTACAGTGCTCTGATCATACGTTATATTTTAAATGAACCTGGATTACATGGAATTTGGAGGCAGTAACTAAGATATAAAGGGCTGTCATAAAACCACAGGTGCTTCAAGTATTTTGCTTCCATGTTATTGTCACTTAAAGTCCTCTCAGCTTAGCTGAGGTCATAGCGGAAAACATTAACGCCATTCAGTAGATTTAACCTCATCTCCACCTGACAGTGTTTTAAAACACCACATCATAAATTATGTCTACAATATTTCATTTAAAGCCATTTATTAATTTTTACTTATTTTGGACATTCCTCTTTTTTTTTAAACCAGCAGAAAACTGAAGTCAGCTGAGTAGAAGAGAGTTAAGCATGTCGAGTTGGAGAAACTGAAGGCAGAGATGAGAATGCCTGCCTTCTCTAGCCCAGTAAGAAAGGACGTTCTTGCCCATACTCAAATGCATCTCTTATTGTAATTTAATTTCAGTTATTATTGTGAACTTGTGAATATCTAGGTATCATTACCTGAGTGGTGTGACTCTGTCTCTGAAATGACGAGGTCGCTGTGCCACTCACAGACAACCTGGAGAATCCATCCTCTTCAGGCAAACCTATTGAAGTCAACACAAAGTAGCAGTTAAGTTGTGGGTCCTTTCCCTGAGTAAAATAAGCTGTGTACTTATTGTAATAAACTAAAACTGTTGCACTTCACGGACTGAAATGATTGCCAATAAACACAAGCTGAATAATACATTTTCCAAGGCAATAAGGGACGGCACAGTATTGCTGCAGTTCCATTTAACAAAAGAAGAAATATACTGGCAAAAGAGATAAAACGATGGTGAAGAAATATGTCACAACAGCACAAAAGTGAGCAAAGATGTACTAGAGGGGAGAAGGGAAACTTTTCTAGAAACTGAAAATTGTTTAATGAAGCACCAATGTGGGAAAGAGAAGCATGTGGACAAAAGAGAATAAATGGTTTCCTTGGGTGGCTATGAAGACAGAGTTTGTATTTCACTTGTGGGATAGCAGGAAGGCAAAGAAGGGATGAGAGGACAGATAAGACATAAGCAAGTATACGTGTCAGATGAATTCTGTTGACTGTAATTCATTTCACACACAAAGGGAGGGAAGAGATTGGGTGGAATTCTACGAAGAAAAGCATGGGGTAGCTTTACTTTCACAACAGACCAATTCATAACAAACTATATAGGATAAATGATGGGTTTGAGGAAATTTACATACCCCCTAAATAATATAGAAGCACTTATGAGGCACCAAAGGATTTTATTAACCATCCCTCATTGCAGAAGCTGGGTTTCTCAATCTCAGCACTGCTGACATTTTGGGCTCTATAATCCTTGGCTGTGGGCTGTCCTGTGCATGAAGGATGTTGAGCAGCATCCCTGCTCTCCACTCTAGACACAAGGAGCACCCCTCCTCCTCCAGTTAAACAACCGAAAATGTCCCCAGACGCTGCTTAATATCCCCTGGGAAGCAAAAATCACCCCTGGTTGAGAACCATTGGGAGAGAGGGATCAAGTACCATCACAAGAGACTTATTAATAAAAATGAAGAGATAAAAATATCGTTACCCAATGGAATGAGTTCAACTCAGAGAAGTTCCAATTCTGAAGTGATTGCTACTCTCATCTGAAATCATAATTAGCCAACATGGCGTCACTGATTAAACATATACATGATTTCTAAACTAAAAATCATTAGAAATCATGGCACACTTTTCCAATTACAAGAGAGAGTGAGCTCCTCAGGGAAGTTCACAAAATCCTTCAAAACATAACAAGGCCTCCTAATTTATCTTCCTGTTAGATATACAAATGCCTTGGTATGGAGAGGCCAGCGTCATTGAGACTGGGCAGACTAGGGCCAGCATCTGGAAACTGACACGTCTACAGGTGGGGATCATGTGCTGGAGAACTGGTCCCTGCCATAAGCCATAGCAACATCTAAAGTTGGCTAGGGGCATATTGTATTACAGACTGTGGAAGCAGGTGCATGAAAGGTTCCAATCAAACAGTTAGTGTTACAGAGATCCAGGATCTAAACAGTGCAAGGGAGCATGGGAATCTAAGAGCCGGCATGAGGTGGAATTCCAGGCAACTAGATCAGCAGATAATAAAATGTGTATCTGGATAGCAGGGCATGGCAAAGGGTTTGGGATTCACATGGAGGGGTGTCAAAGGTGTAGGAGGGACAAAGAGATGATTGACAAGCAAGAAAAATGCCCACTTCCAGAGAATCTGGCTCTCTGGATGTCTTACGGAGACCAGGAATCTGAGGAAGGGGAAGAAAATTGTGATCCATTGTCAAAACTAAATTAAAAATTAAAAGTTTGCCCTCCAAATCAAAACCAAAACTTCATTTAGTGAAGATACACACTCAGAGCCCCATCAATAGCATAATGTGCTTCATACAGTGTCAATTAAATAAGCTGAGACACGAGATACGCAGAAGAATAAATAAAAGTCTCTACTCTCGAGGAGCTCGAATTTAATGGGAATGACACTTAACCAGAACACACAACAGAATGACTTGAGGGAGTACAGGTAACACTGAGCAGGATCTTAGAGAATGGAGGGATTAATTCTGATTGAAGGGATTTGAGGAAATGAGATGGTGGAAGTGCCAAAGGATCTGGGTCTCCCAGGATGAGAAGGACTTTGAAAGGTGAACAGGGTTGGGAAGGCCAGCCTGGGTGAGAAAACAAATAAGATATGGCAATGATCCGAGATTGCTCCTCATCCAGGGGAGTGGCCTGTAGGAGGGTATGGCCAGAGGCAGCCTGAGGAGGTGTTGGAAGGTAAAGCAGGCCAGGTGTTACAGCACTTTCCATAACATTTCACAGCAATTTGACAGTATTCTGTAGGCAGTCAGTAGCTCTGTAGATTTCTGAGAAGGGATGTGACACCATCTTACCCACGGGGTGAGTTAAAAGGCATTTCTTACCTGTTGACTAAAGAAATCATTGACCCCAGAACCTGTGGCAGGGTCAACAGAACTAGAAGGAGTGAAGTAACAGCAGGAGGCACAGAAATGCTAAGGAGGTCAGAGGGCAAGATTTTTTTTTTACCAACAAAATATTTTATTTTGCTGCCATATTGCAAATAGTATTTTTTTAAGGCAAATGGTCTAAAAATGACACCAAAGGCACAAACTGTAAAGGAAAAAAAAAGGAGGAATGCTTCTTTATGAACATTAAAAAAATGTTAAAAATATCATAAAAATAAAATGCAAATTAGAAAAAGAACAATATAGAACATTTAAACACACTGAGTAAAAGGTTTTATTATTTTTGAAACATCCTACAAATCAAAATAAAAGACTTACCCTCAGATTTTAAAACATGGGCAAAGGATACTTACAGAAAATCAGAGAATACAAACGACCACTAAATAATAAACATGTTCATTTTCATTGTGTTCAGAAAAATGCACATAAGACTATGACTTACCCATTTTATCTATCAAGATAAGAAATATTTCAAAACTTTTTATTTCGGAAATGCCACACACATATAAAAGTAAAGAGACTGTGTAGTGAAACTCCATATACCCAGCAGCAGGTGTTGGGGTTTTCATTATTCCAATCTTGTTTTGTCTATTTCTCATTATCTTTAAAAAAAAAATCATGTAATTTCACCCACAAATTCTTGAGCATGTGTCTTTCATGCAGCTAAGGGATTTCCTCCTGCTGCTAAGAGGAACACTGTTCTGCAAAGGCCTCAGAAAAGCCCCAAGGTCTTGGGGTAGAGAATTCCTCTGTGGATTCCCACAGGGTTGAAGATTCCAGATGGATGTTGGGGAGACATTTAAGGTCAAGCTGGAGCGCCTTATTTGTTGACTTCCATTGGAAGGTAGGTTTCCAACACAGAAGGATTGCTTGCTCGCACGTATTTACGAACTTGCTCGAGTTTTCTCAGGGCCACAGCCTTCTCCCCAGCTGACTCTCAGGTGCTACTTCCCAGCTTATGCCGTCCTGTGTCCCTTCCTCAACATATTCTTTCTATGGCAGCAGCAGTGTGCCTCAAAGTGCTAAGCAGGTCCATTTGATAGGAAATCTTCCTTTGAAAAAAGCCACACTTGCCCAAATTATAGGAAGGGCTAAGGTCTTCTGAAACTATACCCAACCTACCTACCCCCAGACACCCGGCTCTTTTGCTCAAAGAAAACACGCCGAGGCTTGGGGGAAGGCATCCGCTACACGATGATCTGAGCCATGCAGTTGATACCGACACTCCACAGAACGTGCTGCTCTTCACTGCAGCTTGGCAGAGGGGAGTCAGGAAGCTGTCAACCTTGAGCGAAGGACCAGGCAAGGCAGAGGGGGGAGGCTCCGCACTCCCCTTGTGTAGTGGGTGCTGCTCAGAGCTTTAAATTAAACCTCCCCCAGGATGCTCAGGAGGAACGGCTTTAGGACGTTCTCCTCATCAGTCACGGTGTGGATCCAGCTCCCGCAGTTCCATGAGATTTATAAAGTGATTTTGAAAAGTAAGAGAGTCTGAGGTCATGAAGTCTACATGCAGAGCACAGTGGGCTTTTTAGGCTTCTAAGAAGAGAAAAGTGGGGCAGACTGTGGAAGGCGGTGTGACGGCATTTTCAGTGGTTAACCGGGTAGAATCTGCTCATCGAACTCCCTGCCATTTCATAGTGACCCAAATTTGTTTAATCAATAGCAATGAGGTTTGGATTCTCTTTTCATGTCCTCCCAGTTTACCAATTGCTCCCTAATCCTCAAATCCATTCCTCTCCTGGTTTCTAGGAAATTGGACATCCGTACCCTCCTATCTCTTTGACCACCTATTCTGTAGCTCCATGTCTGCCCTTCTCAAGGTATATATCTCAAAGTTTGGCACTCTACATGATTTTGTGGTCAGATTTTTTTCCCCCTCATTTATCTTTATACTTTTTTCTCTGATGCTATAAATGATCCCCATTTCTCCGGTTTCCTTGAAAATTCTGCCTCTTCTATTTTTCCATCCTGCAATCCTCGCCTAAACTCCAAAACTATAATTGTCACTTCTGTAACAATCATCTGTAGCCAGATGTCCTTCTCGGCTCTTGAACTCCAACTCCAACCCATGGAATTGACCTCCTCTTAGAGCTTCCTACTTCTGTTAAGAAGTGAATCATTCTCCCACCTTTAGTCTCAAGTTCTTGGAGTCATCTTTCAATCTCCTTTTCTTGCCTCTTATACCAATACACTCTTGCTGGGTGTACACAAAGGCTCAAGTGGAGGAACACAAAACTGGTACTCCCAACTTAAGTTTTTGTTCCATTGTTCACCCTGAATGATGCAATCAGGTAAATTTCTCCAAAATGGCAGATAGCGCCCCCTCCACATAAGGACAACCCTTTCAGAGACACTTTAAATTGGCATTCAATGCCCTGTACACTCAACACTTTCTTTCCTATCTTACTTACTTATCTATTCCATCAACGCAGCCCATTCACACCCCTGCCACAAAGACATGGTGGGGTAAATCTTCTTCAGTGAAAGGTGTTCCCTTCTTGTCTGAATCCTATATGTTTTAAAAATCCCAACCTTCACCATGAAGTGTCCTTAACTATCCCAGCCCACAGGAATCTCC